TTTTTTACATAGTGCTTCTGAGCAGTAGAATGAGCAATTTCAATAGCAGCACACGGAGAAGTTTATGAATATTCTTCACTTATCTGTGTGCGTATGTGTTTTGAGTATATGCATGTAACAGAACTGGGAGCTGTTTTAGGCAGATAATGAGGTCGAAAGACCAAATAGGCGGGATAAATAAATAAATAAATAAATAAATAAAGTGAACATCTTCCATGGATGGATGGGACCACCACTGGTTTGCTTTCAACCAGTGGTTCCCAAACTTGGGTATCCCAGTTGTCCTTGGACTGCAATTCCCAGAAACCCCGCCGACACAGAGCTGGTGGTAAAGGCTCCTGAGATTTGCAGTCAAACAACACCGGGGTTACCCAGAGTTGGAAACCACTGCTCTAAACCCATTAGGGGGCACACCTCCTGCAGCTGTGAGCTGAGCTGAGCTTAGCCAGAATTTGCTTTTTAAACAAGCAGCATGGAAAGCACACACTTTTTTCATGAACAGATTATGAGCTTCCAAACTGCTGATTCAGCACCATCTCTCCTGTACTTCATAACAATAAAGATTGCTACTAGGGGATATTCTCAATAGGCGGTCTGCAGTATAGACCAATTCAAAACGCAGGATTTTGGTTGACAGATAATAGCACCATAGAAGGAGTCGTGCAATCAAGAAAGAATTAAAACATTTATTGGGCATAAATATATTACATATACACTACAGATACAGTTACATACATAGTGTAATAATTGCAAAAATCTATACATTAAAATTGGTATGGCAGTTTTAATAGAATGCATATGAAATCGTTAAAATTTACAATACAAGAAAACGTATGATTATTTCTCTCAAAGTTGAAAAGCTTGGAATGTATGTCCTATAAGTGAGGTAAAAAAAGAAAAAAGAAAAAACTAAACCATTCATTTATTTATTTTTGAATTTAAACAACTGTGCAAGGAAAATGTTCAGAAACATTCAGTTTAGGGCACTTTTTCCATTGTAACAGTGAATACTGATTTACTGTTGCTGACAAAACAGGATTAGAAAACTACAACATTTCAAGTTCATAAAGGACGAAGGCAGATAATATAAAAATGTATCTTTTCCTTTTAAATAGTTTCTTAAAATATTTTCCCCACTTTGTATTTTTACAATTTCTTTAGAGTCTACGCAGGATTGGGTGGGGTGGGAGAAGAGGTTTGTTCTACACAGTTGATATTCATTAGGTCAGGAAAGACATAGAGGGGAATACAAAGCAATCAACAAAACTATTGTTGACTGCTCTCCATGACACTAGAAACAGGAATGGTCTGAATTTATAACACATCTATTTTATGGCTCTGTTAGAAGCTAATTCTACAGAATCTCTACAGCAAAAATGGCAGTGTATGCAGGTAACCACTAATTTGATTTGACTTGATTTGATTTACTGGGGGTGGTGGGTGGAAAGGGAGACTTTGGGTTCTAAAACTACAATAAATATATGCAAAAACTGTAAATATTTCCTTGATAACAAAAGTATTGACTTTACTTGTCATTATCTCACCTATAGAATTACTCCCTAGGTTTAAAACCTGTGGCTCTCCCGGGGTTGTTCAAGTGAAACTCTCACCATCTGACACCACTGGCTGGAGCTGATGGGAGATGTAGTCCAACACCATTGGAAGGGCCATGCATTGCCCATCCTTTTTCTTCCAGGGTCAGATCCAAAGTAACAGAGCAACCTTATGCTCCTTGGAAGGTTGACTGGCAAGTCTGCTGGATGTGCAGACCTCCCCCACTGAGTCTGGCCACTGAGATGTAACTCTGGCCACAGAGTTGGAGGCTCCCTCTCTGGGCAGTGACAGACCTTTCTGACCTTGAGAATACTCCTTTGGTGGTGCTCTAGTAACGGTGGAGCTAAAATGTCAATCTGGAGGCATGGGATGGGGAACTGATGAACCACAGGTTGATCCCATGCTCTCTCCTTACCTCAGCATGCCCCCAAATTAAGCTAAAAAACCATGATGTTCTGACAGCTATCATAATTATTCCTCTTATTGCACACAAAGGGAGAGGAAAACCAGTGGCGATGATGGGGAACCAGCTGCCCCCCAATCCCACCCAGAGCAGCCAGTGTCTGGGAAACGATGGCAGCTCTTGGCCTGGTGGGAGAATGGATTTGTCCATCAGTCTATGTTTTAATCCCATTCAAGTCAATCAGAAATCAGTTACGCTTAATTTAAGCACCACTGTTTTCACCAGGATCAACATATGACTAACTTTAGTTGGGGACTTATCTTGAAATGTACACATCCAAATTTGCAGAGCACCTAACAAATGTTTCAGTAGTTTACTTCTCACTTGTTAAAAAGTGTTGTGCAGAATTTTAAAAAACTATATTTTACTGTAGTGGAGGTACAAAAGCAAGGCAAGTATTTTGAGCTGGTGGTAGATGGAAGGGGACCTGTATTAATTTAGGGGTGTCCCAGTGGTCAACGTTGGAAACTTCTTGACTCTGATCCAAAGACGTTTAGCTGAATCAGAGGACCTTTAGAACCAATGAAATTCCAGTACTAACTCTTCCTACTAATTGCTATAAGATTTAAGCATAATTAATATCCCCTCTCCCCTTCTTTAGGACTGCTTTTAAAAGACAAAAGGGAAAAGGGAAAGAAATATAATATTCACCCACCAAAATAATCTTTATGGAACATGTCTGTTTCAGATTACCCAAGTTTAAATTTATAGAAGAATGAATTTAAATTAAAAACAACGACAATAATACAACACCGCAAAGAACATTTGACGAGCCGTGACACTGGCTAAAGTGAAGGAGGAAGGGGAAGAATTTAGCACAATACCATTAGTTTGCTAAGCAAACGTATAAACTAACAATAATCAATAACAAAATACAGAACCTTTGTACTAGTTTGCTACATCTAGAGAGGCACACAGAATAATTCATCAATCTCAGAACATTCTTCCAAGAGATGGTCACTTTTTTTTCTTTTTTTGGCTACATGTAAACTTTTCAGTCAAGAGAGCACAGGCTGATCAGCTCCATTGCTAGAGAAAACCCATAGAAAGAATAGCCGTTACCCAGCACAATGCTTGGCATAGGATGCCAATGTGGGTGGGTTCCTTTTTACCTTTTTTTTTTGGCAATTAATATACTAAGATACTCCCATTTTTTAAACGTACAAGAAACTGTAAGAAGATTAATAATACTAGGAATGCTTCTGGGGATAAAACATTTTACCTACATTACACTTATATAAAACAAAACAAAATAGAAATATAACATGCTACAAGGGAGGGGGAATTTAGTACATAAGTACACTTTTTATTGTTTATTTTTATTTTTATTTTTTTTACAATAAATAATAAGATTGCACTGTAATTGGCATTTAAAGTACTGTATGCAGTATATAGTATAAATAAACCTAAGGAAAAAAATAATGTTGGTTGCCCCATTGCTTTGGTTATGGGAAGATATGCGAGCGTACATGATACTGTATCATAGCAAACACAGAGGACAAAAGAGCTGTGATGCAAGCAAAACCCAAAGTAGCAAAAATATACAATATGTCTTTTTTGTTTAAAAGCAAGGATATACCAAATGTGGGTCACAATCCTCTAGAATCTCTCCTGTGCATGCACTACTAGAGCAGGATTTACCCTATGGCAGTTCTCATGGGTAAGGTCTACGGATATGGGAGGAGGGGAGTTGCACAGTGAAATGTTTCTCTTGTTCAACGCAGTAGTGTGCACATGAAGGATGTTCCTGGCTGACTGCACCCTTGTGTCTGTTGCACTCTTGGAAATTACTTGCACCTCCTGCTCATCAATATCCCTGAGGCACTTGAACATTGCTGACACTATATAAATAAGCCAATGACTCAATGTTTTGTTTGTTTCCTAGAAATAACGACCACAGACTGGATTGAGATGCACATTTGGGCCACTGATGTAAAAACAGACACAATGTCCTTAGAAAGAAATGAAACTGAATTTGCAATGGGTCATGGATGCTGCGATCAGAACATTTGTTTAAGGCTGGAGCTAGATATTGGGGACTACGCAAGGCTGAAAGCAGCAGCTGCACACCTCCTGCTTCTCTTCTTCTCTCCCTTGGTAACGTTGACCGGTACAATACACATGAATGTGATGCCAATGCATTGCAACATCCCATTTGCCCATCACCATTCTTGCAGGCAGTAGCTAGCTACTAAAGCCAAGGTGGACTAAACCAAGCCTTGCCATGCATTGACATCGTGTTATGTGTCTTATAACAGTGTTTGGACAAACAAGGAAATGAAGAAAGAAAGAAGGCATGCAGCAGCGACACATCCTCGGGAACATCTAGTACCTAAGGTCAGCTTGGAAAAGTTACTTCTTGGACTATAGCACCTAGAATTCATGAGCTCATGTTGTGTCTAGCACTGCTGGCCAGGGTAGGTTCAGACTGTAGTCCAAAAATTTTACTTTTCCAAACTCTGCCTAAATTGTCTCTAATGAACTTATCCCAGTTTCGCCAAAGGGTGAAATATAGACAGACTTATTTTTATCACCTTAAGCGGCTGATCAAAAGATTACTCATGTCGAAAGGTAATACTTAATATAAATAGCAAAGGCAGCAAGCTTTCACCAGTTCTAAACATATAAATCAAGATGAATATAACAAATCTAGTGATTAGATTAAAAGTAATTTTATATACAAAGGCAAACATACAAGTTAAAAGCAGCTTTAAAAAAAACAGCTGGACATGGGAGTAACTATTGCACAATGCCCTCTTAAAATTACGGCTATAAAATAAAGAAAATAGTAGAAACTGTAATGCTTTGTCATTCATAAAATTACCTAGCTATCGCATTTGTTATACAGGCAGTTCATAGAGAGCAAACAGTTGGAACAGAGACATCACTATTATTTTTTAAAAAGGCTTCATGTTGCAAGATAAAATTACTCTAATTGAAATGTACTAAATATGTAGTTAAGTATGTGGCTGAGTTTTTAAAAAAAAAAATTACCATGGAGAAGAACCAACAGGGATGGGGTAGGAAAAAAGAGAAATACAGTGGATATCATCATATGCGACGTTGATAATTACTGTTTGCTAAACGCTGGATATTGCCAAATGCCACATTCTGGCTGCACACAATTACATACTGGTGGTTAAGGCTTGCAGATGCAAAAGAGCCAAAAGCGTATTCTAATGTAATAAACTTGCAATTTAAAGACTGTAATGATTTTAGCAATACAAATAAACAAAAACAAAAATGTAAAGGCAATTTGGTTATATTTCTGAAACCTCTGGGGAAGTAACAAACATTGCAGATTTGTTTTTAAGCAGAAGGAAAAATAAAAAATAAATGCACAGTATTTGCTTTTGGTATCTGCCTTCAACAGCTCTAACCATTTCCTAGTCTTTAATTTCAAAAAATGATGCAGGTGAGCATCAATACATGTTTTCTAAACAGGACTATCCCTCCTCCACAGCCCCCAGTAATCCAGGAAAAAAAATCTATAAAATGTACTAGAAAATGCCACTGGAGAAAAAAAAAAGAAATACCAGAATAAAACATGGGGACTACAATGTGTAGCATTTGTTAAAAAGATACCTCAAATGCTTGTGTAGACTCTTTTTTTTTTACTTCATAAACAAATACTGTAGTATAAAGGCAAATAATATAGAGACAGTCGCGAAGCCAACGACCAGGAGGGCTGCAAACTGTTCGTCAGAAGGCATCATGCTTTTTGTCTTGGCGTCGTCTATCCTTCCCATTTCTCCTGGAAGCATGAGCTCGCTGCGCTGGAGCATAAAGGCAACAGATGGGCTGAAAGGTCCGTTAAGTTCTTGTGAGGTATCCGAGCACCGGCGGCAAACACACACGCGGAATCTGTAGTCGGTGTTTGTTTGGAGGCCTGAGATTTGGAACGAGGTCTCGTCTCCCTTGTATACCTTTCAATAGCAAACAAAAGGTTTATCAAACTTAAGTGCCTCTAAAATGCCCAATGACTAACAGCCTATGCCTTTTTTTATTTTTAAAAAACATTCCAAGATGGGGCACAGACAACTTGTCCATTGAAAGCCAACCCATAAGCACACTGATAACAAACGGCTTATAAAAATCTGAAGTAATGTTGAAATCACATGTATTGTATTTTTCTGTGTATCAGACACCCCCATGTATAAGACGCCCCCACTTTTCTACTCCAAAATTAAGAGATCTAAGTAGGGATTAACAAGTGTAGGGGGAAAGGGATCAAAGCACTGCAGAATCGCTTTGATCCCTGCTTTCCTCTCCACTTGTTTTTGTTCTCTTCTCAGCTTACTTTCGTGTATAAGATGACCCTCAATTTTTAGTCTAAAGATTTTAGACAAAAGTATACTCTTATACATGGAAAAACACAATTACTCCTCGAAACAGACAAAATTTTCCCTATCACATTGTCACTTCAAAATATAGCAGGGAAATAATATGTAAGTCTCAAGGCCCAATTGGATGGAATAGTAAGTGCCAGGTTGCCACCCAAAATGGTATGCTCACAAAGTGCTCCTCCTCTTTTCCATCATGTGTTGTTACTATACAATATACAGTAGGTATGTTTGATTAAGAAAACACACATGCAGCATTGAATTCCATACAGATGACAACTACATGTAAAGTCACAGTATGCATTTCTTTAATTATACATGGTAGGGAGAAGGAATGAACCTTTGATACATCATTGGTCTTCCTGGGAACAGTGGAAGGTGACTTACAGACAACTATGTTACGTACAACAGATGATGTATTGGGCACATCCTAGAGCAGCAGTGGCGAACCCATCGCACACGTGCCACAGCTGGCACGCAGAGCCCTCTCTGTGGGCACGCAAAACGTTAAGTCGCTGGATCGCGACCCCCGGCAGCCAAACCTGAGGTGGTGGCTGCAACTGCACTGCTAGCACCCTAGCAGGTGCTGGGCCAGGATCCAGAGCAGCTGGTGCTGGCGGCAGGGGGCCGCTAAGCTATAGGTAGTGACGGGGTTGGGCACGACTGGAGTGGAGTCTGGAGGCACCTCCTTGCCTGGGATTCCCACTTCCACCGCCACCACTGCTGCAGCCACTTCGCTGGGTTGGTGTGCCCCCCCCCCCAGTTTGGCCATCACTGTCCTAGAGCAACAAGCGAATTCAAAATTATGAAAATATACCGCAAAAGGCCTGTAGAAAGAAGAACAATGCAGCAACCCTCTCTAGTCTATTTGCTTCTCAACCATTTCCCTTATCCCAAAGAAATAAGACTTGACCATTTATCTGTATTTCTGGAAGAACAGTGGTAGTGTATAACTGCTCATATATCAAAGACAACAGGGCATTTATTTACAGTGACTCAACAGATTTATCAGTGGAGTCAATGAAAACTCCAAAAGCTGACTCGGTTATTTTCTGCCAAACGGAAAGATACTTGTCCGTTGGTGATAGTGATCAAACATTAGCACAGCTAGGAACATTTCACTCGGAGTTTTTTTTATGCCATTCTGTGACAGTGGATAGCCATGAGTTACACTACACAACACAACATGTGGAGTTTCTGAAGCAAGAAAGGTTACATACATTCTTTGCTAATTCGCAGTAGAGTTGATAGTCAAAAATAAAACACCCCCTTGGAATGAAATAATTGATAATTTGGATGTGCAATCCATACTTAATTGCCATAATTGCAAACAGGGAATAATAAATGTGCTCTAAGCACCAATGCATCAAATTTGAAAATCAGGAATTACTCATTGCTAAACTGAGACTATAGTGGAGAAATTATTTCTTTTACTCAAAGAACAGCAAGTGAATAGAGACAGGCTACTTACATATAGATGATAGCTAGGAAAAAAATGCAGAAAGTTTCTCTTGGGTGTATTTACCTACCTTATGACTATGATTATGATGATTATAGCTAAGATTTCAGCAATTCACTCTAATAAATAACAGGGAAGTTATGACTCAATGAACATGAGTCACTAAACGGAAGAAAATATAAATTTGCATAATGCTGGGCATGGGGTATTCAGATTTGGATGGCAGAAAAAGTCAAAAGGGAGGTAGCAATAACTTCTATAAGCAAAAAACAACTAATTTAGTTTTAGTAGCAAGAAATAAGTACTCAATATTTTAATATTGAAGTGTCAACTGTAAGTCATGCACTGCTTAAATGATCTAACATGTGCTCTCTCTGCTAGCTAACACCATGACTTCATAACAATGGTGTTAATGGAACAAAGCGGATTGTGTATTTGTACCTGTATATTGTCACCCTGCTTATTTAACTTATATGCAGAATACATCATGCGGAAGGCTGGAGTGGAGGAATCCCAAACTGGAATTAAGATTGCAGGAAGAAATATCAACAACCTCCGATATGCAGATGATACCACTCTGATGGCGGAAAGTGAGGAGGAACTAAAGAACCTTGTAATAAGGTTGAAAGAGGAGAGTGCAAAAAACGGTCTGAAACTCAACATCAAAAAAACTAAGATCATGGCCACTGGTCCCATCACCTCCTGGGAAATAGAAGGGGAAGATATGGAGGCAGTGACAGATTTTACTTTCTTGGGCTCCATGATCACTGCAGATGGAGACAGCAGCCCCGAAATTAAAAGACGCCTGCTTCTTGGGAGGAAAGCAATGACAAACCTTGACAGCATCTTAAAAAGCAGAGACATCACCTTGCCAACAAAAGTCCAAATAGTCAAAGCTATGATTTTTCCTGTAGTGTTGTATGGAAGTGAGAGCTGGACCATAAAGAAAGCTGACCGCCGAAGAATTGATGCCTTTGAATTGTGGTGCTGGAGGAGACTCTTGAGAATTCCCTGGACTGCAAGGAGAACAAACCTATCAGTTCTAAAGGAAATCAACCCTGAATGCTCACTTGAAGGACAGATCCTGAAGCTGAGGCTCCAGTACTTTGGCCATCTCATGAGAACAGAAGACTCCTTGGAAAAGACCCTGATGTTGGGAAAGTGTGATGGCAAGAGGAGAAGGGGACGACCAAGGATGAGATGGCTGGACAGTGTCTGCGAAGAGGGGAACACTCAAAGTCCATTTACTTCCACACAAGTGTGCTGATAGAGATTTTTCTCTCTCTTTTTTTCTCTACAGTTTAAGTGGTGACTCTTCTTTGTCTAAAGGTCTTATCAATGGAAGTTTTACTTCTTGCACCTCAAGTGGACAAGAGTGCTCCCAGGGCTTGTACCTAACAAAACATGTTATCCTTTTAAGGTGCTACTGGATGTGAAAATATTTCCTTCAGACTTCTTGTCTCCCAAGGAAGTAGAAAAGTACACCTTCTTCCCACATTGGCCAAAAACCTGTTGGTGTAACTGGTGATGATAATCTATGCTGTTTAATTTGATATCATTTAATTTAAAGCTTCCTATACCCTCTCAAGTTCCCAAGGCTCCCTTGGGCTGCTACAAATAATTATGGAAATCACTCTAAATCAGTTGGAAATGCAAACAGAGACAATCCGTAATGCTGTCATTCAGAAGAAAAATATTGAATAGTTCAAACCTTGTGTCTTACCGCTGCTTCTTGCTCTGTGGTGGATGTTAAAGTGATGGCAATATAGATGGAGGACGAGTGGCATTCTAGAATCCAGCTAGTGGCATTCGGGTGTTTTTCTTAATTACAAACCAATTACAAACCTTCCGAGGTCGGTAAAATGAGTACCTAGCTTGCTGGGGGGGGCAATGTGTAGCCTGTATAATTAAAAATTGTAAACCGCCCGGAGAGTGCTTGTAGAGCTATGGGGCGGTATATAAGTCCAATAAATAAATAAAATAAATAAATATATAACTGTATAACTGTAGTGAACCAATGAGGTATAGTGTAGAAAGTGTCTGGGCATGATTCAGGTGACATGGATTCAAATCCTTGCTTGATCATAGAAGCTCACTAAGGTAAACTACTCCTTGAATGTGCCACATAACACAGAAACTCTACCAGGGTCACCATATGTCAGCAGTGAACTGCTAGTACAAAACAGAATAGCAATTAAAGAGAATCGGTGGAGCAGTGCCTTTAAAGAAGTAATTTTACATATTTTCATATGTATATTCATATGTGTGTCCTGCCCCCCCACAATTACTTTGACTAGTTTTATTCCCTATTCTTTGTTCACTCATATGTATTCCAGAAGGTTTTCCTCCCCTATAAACCTTCTAAGTTCAACAATCTGACCTTTGTTTAGTTTTCTTCTGTGGCCTAAGCTTCATACTTTCCTACATTCTGATGGCTGTATTTTTTAAAAATTAATTCAGTATATGAAAAAAAAACCCTTTCTGTCGACTCCAGGAAAAAGGAAGCTGCTTATATTTCACTGATGAAAACGGCCAGATGTGCTCCCTATACAGTGGTCTTGTCCTACAACAGGGGTGCATGTTGGCACACACGTGTGCAATAGGTGTGAGGCCTTAAGCTTTCTCCCACAGCAATCAAGACCAGCAGCATATATGCATATGTGGATGATGAAGAAAGCTGCTGTGGGATTACTGAGAGAGTGGTCCCATTGGGATTGGATTGGTGCTTCCCTGTCACCATTAATGATGCTGCTTGGGAGGCGCAGAGAGGACTGCTGCTTTGGTTTGCTGTGGGGACTAGGGAAGATTTTGCAGCGCTGGCTAAAAGACTGTAGAGCAGCCCTGTTGAAATTCTCTTTGGAGGGGGTGGGTGGGCTGCCCTTTCTTTGCAGATTCCTACTCTTCTTTCCTAGTGTCTCTTTGATGTACACTGGCAGGAGGCACCAACAAAGGGGTTGCACATCAGCCTTGAAGGGAATGTATATGTGCCCTCTAATTTCTAGTGTGCAAGCTGCTATGGTTTCTTGCATACAGTTTCAAGAATTCACCTACTAATAGCTTTCCAGGACACAAGGAATAGCATCAGAGAATTCACCTACTGATACTTGTAGCTTTCCAGGACACA